GGCGGTAAGAAGCTGGGAACAAGGGGGGCGGGGCGGGGGATGGAGGGGGGCAGCTGGGGAGGGGAAAGGGCTGAGGATCTGGAGATGAGAGGGTAGAGACCCTCCTGGGATGAGAGGCACGTGTTTGGGAGGGAGATTGGATCCTCAGGGTGAGAGGCATGAATTTGAAGCGGAGGGTGGGGATCTAGAGGTGAGGGGGTGGGGGTGGGGGGTGAGGAGTCTAGAGGTGAAGGGCATTGCAGGGAGGGTTTGGGTCTTATAGCACAAGAGGTTTGCTTGTGAGGAGAGACTAGGAATACAGGTATGTGATGTCAGTGGGGCATATAGTGGTGAGAGGGCGTGCGCTTGCGTGTGCGCATGTGGAGAGGAGGGGAGGGGAGAGGAGAGGAGAGGAGAGAGATTGAGAGAGAAAGCGGTGGCGAGGATGTCCCAGGCATGTGGGAGTGTTGCGGGAGGAGAGTGAGACTTGGGTGGAGGTGGGTTTAGCCAGACCCTGGGGATCCAGGAATATGGTCTCTGGAATTGTTGGAGTTCAGATAGTTCAAGAATTCAAGTTTCAGATCCTCTAAGCTACACTTGATCTTAGTCAAATGGCTGAAAAGTGATGATTCTTTAAAGAAAGCCTGAACCCTGTAGTGGCCACACGCTGGCCTGCTAACTGTAAGGTCAGCAGTTTGCAATCACTAGCTGCTCCTCCTGTGGAGGAGGAGTGCTTTCTCTGCTCCCTTAAGGAGTTGAGTCTCAGAAACCCACAGGGACAGTTCAACCCTGACCTATAGGGTTGCTAAGAGTCACAACCGACTCAATGGCAGTGGTTTTTTTTGGTGGTGTTGTGTTTTTTTTCTTTCTTTTAATCTAAAGAACATTCTGAGTTCGAGTCTCACTATGCTTCCTACTAATTTCTAGTTCTTCTGAGCCACTGTTAAAATTGTTTTCATAACACCCCTTTCTTGTGCCAGTTATTTTTATTGTGACTCCTTTCAAGCACCCACACACAAAAGAGTGGGGAATAATATAAGGAACACCCACATTATTAACCAACCAACACGTTAGATAAAAAGCTACAGAGGTGGTCAGAAGTATTTCTCTGAAAACTACGTTGTGACTGCCACCCAGAGAGCATGCTTTCCGCTTTAGCAGGCAAAACAGCTTTTCCTGTCACTCGGGACTCACTTGTCCCCTCCAGCCCCCTCTGTGAGGGTAACCCGGGGGCACAGCGGTTAAAGCTTCCGCTGCTATCGAAAAGGTTGGCAGTTTATGCCCAGCAGACACTATGGGTCAAAGATGGAGCGGTCTGCTTCAATACAGATTATTCCCAGTGTTATTAAGTGCATCCCAACTCGTAGAAACTCTATGGACAGAAGAGAACTTCCCAATAGGGTTTCTGAGGCATTAGTAATCTTTACTGAAGCTGACTGCCACCCTCTCCCCCAGAGCCATGGATTGAAACCAATGGCTTTTGGCCTAGCAGCTAAGCACTTTGAATACTGTACTCCAGGGCCCCTTTCCATGAAGATTGCATTGTTAGGCGCCCTGGATTAGGTTCTGACACATAGTAGCCCCACGGAAAACAGGATGAGACACTGCCTGGTTCTACATCATTGGTATGTTTGAGCACATTGTTGTAGCCACTGGGTCAATCCATCTATTTGCCCTATCTTCCTCATTTTCATCGATCTAAGCATGATGTCCTTGTTCAGGGTTTACTTCCTCCTAATAATATATCAAAAATACGAGAAACAGTGTATGAGCCCCCAATAAAACGATTTAAAAAAATACGAGAAACGAAGTTTGGTCATCCTTTCTTTCAAGAAATCTTCCGGATAAACATCTTCCAAGACAGATTTGTTTGCGCTTCTGACATTCCATTGTACACTGATCATGCAAATTCTCAGTTATTTCATCTTCCTAGTTCATCACTCCATTTTCACACTGCCTCTGCGGAGAGTGAACAGCACCATAGCTTGGATCAGATGCACGTAATTCTCACAGAGGTCTTTTGCAGTAGATTTACCCAAAGCAATCATACTTTGACCTTTTGTAAAAGAAGATTTTTTTATGGTGAGTTGGGAAAATGTTGACAGAACAGATCATCTTTTGGGTCAACTATTCACACACATTTTGTTTACTCTCATTGATTGCTGTCCCCACAATGAAACATTACTTCGTTCACTTCCTCCTTGTGTTTTTTATTTTTGTTTCTGGCCTTCCTTCTTTCTTAATCCTTCTGAACGTTGTCCTCGAGTAATCTCTGCCCTTTTGATCTCAAATAATTGATTAGTCTATTATGTGTGTATACCTCCTTGCTTTATGGTTCTCCTTATTGAGCTGTTTATTGCTTGGTTGAAAACTTGAATTTGGGTGGTGAATTCAGGTCCAGTCCTGACGGGCAACTATGGGTCATAGTCTCAGAGGTTCCACCGGTCTCTACCCAACCAGCAAGTCTGGTCTTTTTATGATTTTGATTTTGGTTCACAATTTTCTCTCACTCTTATGCAGAGTAAGGTTACTTGACTGCTGCTTCTGTGAGCACTGATAGAGGATCCACAGGAAATAAAATCCTTCACAATTTTTATCCAGTTGTCATGATCTTGCTAATGGGCCCAGGGGTGAGGATTTTCGTTTTGCTCATGTTGAGGTGCACCCCATACGGACAGTTGTAGTCTTAGCTCTTCGTCAATCAATGCTTCGAATCCTTTTCACTTTCAGCAAGCAAGAATGTATCATCAGTTGCAGATTGTTCATGAATCTTCCTCCAATCTTGAGTCTGCATTCTTCTTCCTATAGACAAGCTTCTCAGATTATTATACACCTTAAGGTTTATCATCAACTTTATGGGGCAGTGCTCCTGTGTCCGATAGGGTCACTAGGCGTCAGAATGGTCCACCTGTGAAACCACACCTGCCAGTCATGCCCCTCAGTAGACTTGACACTGGCTGAGCTCACATCCTCGTGTCAAAATGAAGAGACAACTGAGGCCGAGAGTCTTTCTGGCTTACCAGGATGATGATTCTAGGACAGTGCCTTGTCTGCTCATTTCTCTGGGGGCCCCCGACTGTCTCAGAGATTCTGAGAAGATCAGATTTTGAAACGGATCCACTGAGGTTGTTTTTTTTCCTTTTCTCTTTTGAATTTTCATGAATGCATGAGCCATGACAATTTGTGGTCTTTTGTAGACACCTAGCTCTATAGACCAGGAGCCACGGTGACACGGGGGCTAACTGAAAAAGGTCGGTGCTTTGAATCTACTAACCACTTCACAGAAGAAAGATTGGACCATCTGTAAATATTTTAACAATCAATAAAGATTTACCACCTTGGACATCTTATGGGTCTGTTCTATTGGGTGCCTGTGAATTTAATTGAATTGAATTGATTCATTGACAATGGGTTTTCAGAGGTTAGGCCTGCAGTCAGCACGTGACTATTGCTCGTTAAACCTTGGAGCTTGCTGAGAGAAAGGGAAACACTACACCACACAGAGTGATATGAGCTCTCTTTTTTACCTTGTGTTTTGCACAGAGACAAGAACTGCACAGCCATCTGGGAGGCCTTTAGTGTGGTGCTGGACAAGGACCCCTGCTCTGTGCTTCCCTCTGACTACGACCTTTTTATTAACCTCTCGAGGCACTCTATTCCCAGAGACAAGGTAACTCCACACACATCCATGTCTCGCAGTTTAACCCATTCAGTGGCTCCACGGAAAACAAACCTAGCTTCTATAAAGACAATAGTCCAGAAAACCCAATGGAGGAGCCCTATTCTGCAATTCATGGAATTGCCATGAATGGGAATCAACCCCACAGCAATGAAGTTGGTAGTGGGTTTGATAGAGATGTGGGATACATGGATCAGACTTGGGGTTAGCTGACCCAGAGACCTGTAGTGTCATTTCCCCAGAAAGCAACACAATGTGTGTACCAAACTGTCTGGTAGGAAGGGGACCCTGGATCTCCTATCCTTGACATCATAGTTGGCTGAAATAGCTCTCCCAAGTGAACAAGATCATGCCTTTCACACTGGGCCTCCACATGTGCAGACTTCTGAGTGAATGACTTCCATCTTAACTGGCTCAAAAGGCCTGAGTGGAAATTCAGAATACCTTCATCCCAAGTGTCTTCCTGGGAAACAAATCTCTCTTTTCAATGGACTTCTAGATTGTGTTTTTCAGGGCAGTGGTGGTTCCTGGGTAGATCTCTCACCTTCCATGTATTCTCAGTGAATACCCCTCACGTGCAGCTACCACCTGTGTGTCAGTGGAAACTTGATGCTGCTATGAAACTAAACAGGTCTCTGGGGAAGATTTCAGACTAAGGAGGATAGGAAGGCAGGCCTGATAATCTGCTTTTGAAAATCAGCCCATGAAAACCGGGTGGATCACAATGATCAGAACTGCAGCAGATCGTGGGGATGGTGCAGGGGTGAATAGTGTTTCCTTTCACGATGCCTGGGCTTGTCATGAGTCAGGGGCCAACTTGATGGTAGCGAACAAGATTGTATTTATTCAGTTTCTTTAAGAAAGCCACATTTCAACATCCTGTCTGTACTCCTAGGGGAAACTTATGGAAAGTGCTTGCTTGGAACATTACTTTCATTGAAAGGAAATCAGCAACCATGATTATTTTTCTAACAATGATCCTGCACTTGATGTTCTCATTGTCTAGTACTAGCAAAGGTAGGAAATGAAGCTGTGAGTTTTAAAGATATATTAGACTCAAGTATGGTTTACATATTTCCTGCCCATTGGGTGTTTCCCAATTAAGCACAGGTCAGATGAGCTAGCAAGGGAATATTGGTACTCATCCTCTTGTTACATGAAAGCACTTTGGAAACTATAGAGCAATGGTTCTCAACCTGTGGGTCACGACCCCTTTGGGGGTCGAACGACCCTTTCACAGGGCTCACCCCATTCATAACAGTAGCCAAATTATAGTTATGAAGTAGCAACAAAAATAATTTTATGGTTGGGGGTCAACACAACATGAGGAACTGTATTAAAGGGTCGCGGCATTAGGAAGTTGAGAACCACTGCTCTAGATTATAGTATAAAAGGAATGTATGTTGGTGGCATTTCACACATTGAGAGTTGCTTTCTGTGGACCTCATATCATCCTAACAAGAGCTGTGAAAGAAGAGAAAGGGCTCATTATCCCCACTTGCCTGATCTCACGTCTGAAGGTCAAGGAGTTGAGATGCATTGGTCACTAGCATACATCCAGCATCCAAAAGAGCCAGCACTCCCACTGGAGTCTCTAGGTCCATCTTAGTGCAGGAATCTTTGCACAGATTATTGTGGTTCTGGGAAGATACTATCATTGGCCACCCTTGTAATCAATAGAGGAGCGATGGTAGGACTCTCATAATGGTCAATAAAAGACAAAACTCATTTATTGTGTAGCAAGTCAGAGATGAATATGAAATTGGATTGCCTGACTTGTTCTGATCTGGTGCTTGAAAAACTTGTTCTGATGACATTTTGCATCTGAATTTTCTTTTCTTTTGTTTTCCTTTAGTCCTTGTTCTGGGAAAATAACCACCTGCTCGTGACCAGCTATTCAGAGAATGGCCGACGCCTCATGCCTCTGTGTGATGTGCTGTATGGCCGGGTGGGAGATTTCTTGAGCTGGTGTCGACAGAAAAATGCTTCTGGTAAAATGCCTGCACAGATAACAAAAAAAAAAATCAGAACTTCTTTTTCTAATGCATTTAGTGCATGTATATTCATTTGTACAAATGTTTTTTTAATGTGTTTAATTTATTAACCTTTTCATATGAGGAGTGAAATTTTATGCAACAAACTGGTTTTCCATTGAACACTTCATGTACTTTTGATTCGTGACATTGCTTGCAACCCCATTATGTAACAGCACACTTCCTGCTTTTCCCCGTGCTTCCATTGTCTTTGCCTTTCTTCCCTGCCCCTTTCTTTCTCCTGACTCTTCTCCTTAGGTGAAGGCTGCCCTTTTGATCTCATATGGTCGACTGATTGTCCACCTTACTGGTTTGTCTATTGTTTGGCTAAAGTTGACTTCCAGTCCAGACCTGAAGGGTCTCTAAAGGTCATAGTTGTGGGAGCTCCCCCAGTCTCTAGCAAACCAGTAAGCTTGGTCTTTTAATTTATGCAACTATTTTTTCCATTTATATCCATTTGTCTCATTTGTTTCCACCAAAACCCTCTGGGGTGGATGCTTGTTGTTTGTTGGTATTAGGTATAAATTGGTTCCAGCTCACAGGGACCCTATTTATAAAGAAGGAAACACGGTGTCATCCTCACAATTGTTATTACACTTGAGCCCATTGTGGGAGTAATGGTTCTGATGATACAGGACTTGCAGTAAGACACTTTATATAGACCTTTCACATCGAAGACATGAGAGACTTAGTGAAACAGATGTTGATGATCAACCTGCAAGTCTGGGCTTTAGTGCAAGGATAAAGCAGTGGATTGGATATTGTCTGGCAGGAGAAGCTGAATAAAAGTGGTTGGAGAGGAGTTAGAAGTGTGAATTATCAGCTGATCTGAAGCAATGTGGCCATCTTGAGTTTCCGCAAGCAGCATTGCATCCAGACAGTGGCTGGCACAGGAATGACTGGCAACAGGGAAAGTGAGATCCTCCTTGTTTCCCTCACCCTTCTAATGACTAGAAGTGTAACCCGCATGCACTCTGACCCGCTACAAACCCTGCTCCATCTGAGGTCATAACCTCACCCTCCTGAATCAGATGCCAGGAGCACCACCCGTGTCTAGAGTTTGAGAACTTTATCTCTTCAGACAAGCATGAAATGTTATGCAAGATCCTTAGCCACCTCTAAAGGGATGGGAACTCTTTCCATATCCAACTGCTCTGATCCCTAACGCCTTCCACATTGCATCAGTAGTCTCATGGTTTCCTCGGGTTGCTCTGTTTCTATTCATCAAGCTTCTCTCAACTTCTTTGCCCTTCTTATTTTTGTTCTATGGTAAATGTTGACATCTGGGCTCAGAGAGATGATTGCATATTTTTGTTCACTTGTTTTTACATAAAAGGAGCACATAACTGAAGAATGATACTGTTTATTTTGTGATCCAATCTGTCAAATAATGAAATAGTGCTGTTATTTAGAAGCCGGTAATTATTCTCCAATTTTTTCCTGTGAGCATTTGAGGTTGCTTCCAAACTTCATGGAAAATTCCATTATCATTTCATTCTTTTTTTCCCATGAACTTTTTGAAGCCCCATATAGGCTACTTTTATCAGGGTAAGAAAACACGTACTCTGATGTCAGCTACCATTTAAATGGTATGAACCATTTTAAAATCAACTTCCCTGATCCCAAATGACATATAAATATGGCCCATTCTTTCCCACCCCACCCTGTAAGCTCCTCAGTTGGTATTTGTTGCCAATACACACTGTTTTGCCTAGTCTCCCACCCTATTTTTCTCTCTTATTTATTTATTTTTGCAGGAGATAAATGGAGATTTCTACTCTCATAAATAGTTACAGTCTCAGAAACTCTGAGGGGGTAATTCTACTCTGTCCTATAAGGTCACTAAAAAATGGCATCAACTCGGTGGCAGTGAATTCTGATTTTTCATCCTTTCATTCTCTGCTATCATTTTTTCTTTGTTTCCTTCGGCTTCTCCTTTACCTTTTGTCTTATTGATTTTCATTTTTCCTCCTTAATTTTACTTTTTCTTTACCTTTAATTTTTTATTGCCTTTTTTAGTTATCAGATTATTTTTTCCTATTACTATTTGACTGTTATCCCTTGCATGTTTTAAAAAAAATTATTAAATACTTTTATTGGACACTCTGACAGCTCTTATCACAATCCATACATTCATCCATTGTGTCAAGCATAGTTGTACATATGTTGCCATCACCATTTTCAAAACATTTTCATTGTACTTGAGCCCTTGATATAAGCTCCTCATTTTTTCCTCTCCTTCCCCCACCCAACCTCCCTCATGAACCCTTGAAAATTATAAGTGATTATTTGCATATCTTACATCATTATCTGTCTCCCTTCACCCACTTTTCTGTTGTTCATCCCCCTGGGTGGGGGTTAAATTTCCAAAACCTAAGACAAAGAAAGAATCCTGAAAGCAGCCTTGGAAAACCTAAAAGTTACTTAGAAAGGGGAACCAACAAGACAAGGCTCTGATTTTCAGCAGAAATCATTCAGATAAGAAGGCAATGAGGTGAGATACACACACATATGTATGTGTGTGTATGTATATATATATATATATCCAAAAGAAAAAAAATTGCTTGAAAAAAATTATACACACAGAAAAATCGTCTCTCAAATATGATGGTGAAATTAGTACATTTCCACATAATTAGAAGTTGAAGGAATTTGTAAAAATAAGACCAACCTGGAAAGAAATACTAAGGAAGTTTTTTTGAACATAGACAACTCTACAATCATATTAGATTTTGTTAGATTTTAATACGTGACTTTCAAGGAAGGATGCTGTTGTTAAGTGCCATTGAGTCAGCTCTGACCCATAGAGACCCTGAGCACAACAGAATGAAACACTGCATGGGGCTGCACCATCCTAACAATTGTTCCGATGCTTCAGCCCATTGATACAGACCACTCTCCCCAACAACATAAAAATATAGATTGTTTTCATGCACAAATCAAATTTTCTTCAGAATAAACCATGTGTTAGGTCACAAGGCAAATATCAATAATTTTTAAAACATTGACACATTACAAACCATCTTCTCAGATCACGATGCTATAAAATTTGAAATTAGCAATACAGAGATCAAGGGAAATTAATTATATGGAAATTGAGTGATACTTTGCTTAAAAACTACTAGGCAATAGGAGAAATAAAATTAAAAAATTTAAAAATTCCTTGAATCAAATGATCATGAAAACTCAACATAACCATACTGTTGGGATACAGCAAAAAAAAAAAAAAAAAAGCCGAAAAGGCAAAAAAAAAAAAAAAAAACAACGAACAAAAAAAAAAAAAAAAAAACAAAATCAAAATCTTAACATCTCTAACAATCAGATAAAAACAGCAAAAGTGAAGGAGAAATATATTTCCATTAAGCCTTTGGTGAATCCCCTCTAACTATAGACCAGAGATATAAATAGCCTTACTAGTATGCAGAGTGCATTAGAAAACGGATTACTGCAAATGCGATTGGGTCAAAATTTAGTACCTTATAATTTGATTTCCCTTTTGACTCATTTTAAATTTGTGTTAGCTTTTTATATTTTCTGTTTTATTTTTGATTGAGGCTTTTCTTTGTTTTGTTACTGCTATTGATTTTCATGTTTTCCTGTATATGAAATCCAGATGGTTACATCGATAGAGACAGTGACTAGATTAATGGTTTTGAGTGATAGGGTGGGGGAGCTTGGAGGGAAAATGGGGAGCTAATAATAATGAATATATGCAAGAAGAAAATGTTCTAGAGTTGTTTGTGATGATGATTGTTCCACTCTTTTTAATGTGATTGAACTACTGAATTATATAGTATGTGAATTGTATGTCAATAAAACTGTTAAATGAAATAAATGAATAAAGCAGAAAAATAAGCCTATACTCACCAGAATAAAACAAAGAATAAAGATTAGAACAGAGATAAATGAAACAGAAAAACAATGGGAAGAATCAAGAAGACAAGGAATTGGTTCTTTGAAATGATTAACAAAATTGACAAACCACTGGTAAATCTAACAAATAAAAAGGAGACCTGTGTTAGGCAGGGTTCTCCAGAGTAACAAAATCAGGACACTTATGATTATATGTATGTGTGTGTGTGTGTGTGTGTGTGTGTGTGTACAGGTTTATACAGTGAGAAGGAATAGAACAGCTAATTAGTCCACACAGCAGTACAGAGGACTCAGTTCAACTCATTTTTGTGGAACAGTTAATATGCTGGAAACCCTCCAACTCATGTGGACTGTTGGTTCAAGGTCAAGGAAGCAAATGCTGGAATCCTCCCTTGGGCAAGGTAGGCAGAGTCTTCTCTTAGGCAACAAACAGCAGAGTGGGTAGCACAGGAGGCCCAGCTGGGTTATCTAACTCAAGCAATGCAAGGTGACAGGATCCACCAGCCACAACCTCAAGAAAGGTATGCACCAGCAACATGATGAAGCAGGTCTCAAAGAAACCTCAAGCTCTAGTGACACTATCCATGAGTTGGCTGGGTCCACAGGCATTGTAACACACAGGTTGAGGCAGAAAACTAGGTAAAGCAGCAGCACACTGGTCTGATCACTAGAGAGCAAGAGAGACAGGAGCGGACCTTGCAGAGCCATTTCTCTTTTTGCCCTCCAATCAATCAGGGACCTGATTAATCCCACATGTTCCTATTGACCAGATTTGGACAATAAACCTAACTATCACACAATGTAAATGGCCTGAAAAAGAAATAGGTAACCCCACAACAGAACCAATGGAAACAAAGAGATGCTAACAGAGTCTTTAAAGAACAGTACTCTAACAAAATTGAAAACCTAGAGAAACAGGAACATTTCCAGAACCTACCTAAACTAATATACACTGAAGTAGAAAACATGAACAAACCCATAATAAAAGAAGAAATTGAACAGGCTATTAAAACACTCCCTACCAATGTAGCCGAGAGGAATTACCAAAACCTGAATGAAGGCCAAACATGATAGTGAGACAGGAGGAAAGTAAAAGGAAGTAGAGGAAAGAACTGGGAGGCAAAGGACATATTAGAGTTCTATATACAGGTATGTATATATGTAAATACATTTCTATATAATGATAGGGGAATAGATCTATGTACATATATTTATTTATAAAGTATTATGGCCCCAGATGGACATTGGGCCTCTACTTAAGTACTCCCTTAATGCAAGAACACTTTTGTTCTACTAACATGGCACTCTGTGGTGCTTACCTTCCTTGACATGATCACTGAAGACAATGCGGGTACATAAGCACCTACAGGGAGAATATCTCTAAGCATCTGACCTCCTACCATGTGCTGGCAAACAGCCTCTAAGGTTTGGCATATCTTTGGGGGACACAAAGCTGGGGAAAAGTCTTTTTATATCCCACAGATAGAAACCCTTCATATTAATGTAATGATCTAAGTGTAACCCCGATACCAAAACCAGATAGAGATATCACTAAAAAAAGAAATTATAGATTAATGTTCCTCATGAACACAGATGCAAAATTCTCAACAAGTTCCTACCCAAGGGAATCCAGTGTGTATGTGTGTGTATGCTGTTGTTAGGGCCATGAGTCATCCCAACCAATAGTGTCCCTATCCCAACAGAAACACATTGCACGGTCCTACGTCAACCTCACAATTGTTCCTATGCTTGAATCCACTGTTGCAGCCAATGTGTCAATCCATCTCCTTGAGGGCCCTGCTCTTTTTGCTGTTTCTCTACTTTACCAAGCATATTGTCCCTCTTCAGGGACTGGTCTCTCCTGACATTATGTCGAGATTATGTAAGATGAAGTCTTGCCATGCTTGCTTCTAAGTACATCACATTCAATTCATACCAGCTATGCAAGGATAGTACAATGTTAGTAAAACAATCAATGTAAACCATCACGTAAATAAAATAAAGAGAAAGAGCCGCGTGATCACATCATTTGAAAAAACTCCAATACCTATCCCTGTTAAAAAACAAGAAAATAGGAATAGAAGGAAAATTCCATCGTAAAGGGAATATATAAAAAACCAACAGCCAACAGTACTCTCAGTGGAGAATAACAGAATGTGTTCTCCTTGTGAATGGGAGCTAGACAATAATGCTATTTATCTACACTCCTAATCAATATTATGCTATAGAGTTGATATGCTCTGGAACCCATTTTGTGGCACAAAACAATAGCACTGGTACAATCTCTGAAATGAAACATGTTTATTCCTTTATTTTTAGGACTTGACTATGAATCTTGCCCTACATCAGCAGATTGTGAAAATAATCCAGTGGATTCTTACTGGAAAAGAGCATCCATTCAGGTAGTCCTGGGCCGGGGGGGCTGGGCACAGGTGGGACAGTGCACGTGGGAGAGAGACTTCAGACACTGAGCCATTGTGTCCCTCCTTTACTTCTCTGGGCGTCCCTTTCCCTTTTAGTATTATTCAGATTCCTTCCTTCTGCTCTAAAAGGTTGTGGGATTTACTAAGGATCTATGGGTACGGGATATAAAAAGACTTTCCCCCAGCTTTGTCTCCCCCAAAGATATGCCAAACCTTAGAGACTGTTTGCCAGCACATGGTGGGAGGTCAGATGCTTAGAGATATTCTCCCTGAAGGAAGTCAGTCATCAGTCTGGTTCACTGTACATGGGGTTCACATCCTACTGATAAGGATAGTAATTGTTTCCATAGAGAGCCAGCGAACAGGTCAAACCTGCTCAGTGGCATTCAAAGTTAGGCTGCCTTCCTGAATCTAGGATCTGCCTATCTTGTCACATGTGCCCCAATCCCTCCCCTTCCTATTTTGTGTATACTCTTGCATCACCCCCTCTTATTACTGCATTACCTATAGTACAACCCCTTCCTGTGATGTATGTCTTTAACCTCTAACTAGGGGGCTTGCATGCCCCCAAAAGATATATAAGCCTTGCTTAGTAATAAATCGCTCCCTCTCACTCCTGTAATTCCCACCTTCCACACCCTGACGTGGACCACCAAGCGGGGCTGATGTGAGCATTCTACCATGATATGCGTCTGACTTCTTTATTTAACTCTCCTATCTCTCTTGTTCTCTGTGACTTTACTATAATCTTTACTTATTATCACTGTATAACTGGGCCTGCTGGGCCTGTGATGATTTGTAAGAGGCTGACTCCCCTGACATATGGGGATAAAGTACTTGTAGTTCCTGATACAGAGAAACTATGCGTTGGATGCTAGTTATAGATGAAGATAATAAGTAATCATTATTAACATTACTTTTACATTGGGAAACTCTGTGGCAAAAGACCTCTTTTAGATTTCAAAAAGCCAGGATGTCTTTTGATGACTGAGGTCCACCTGACTCAATTGCTTCACACGGATGCAAACATTAGACCATGAAAAAGCAAGTCCAAAGAAGGATGGATGCATTTGGGTTGTGGTGCTGGTGAAGAAGATGAAATAAAGCAGACAAATGAACAAAGTTATCTTGGAGGAGGCATAGTCAGTATGCCCCGGAGAAGACGGTCTTGCTTACTTTGGATGTGTCATCAGGAGAGGTTGATTTCTGGAGAAGGACTTCATGTTCGGTCACCTAGTAGGTCAGTGGAGAAGAGGGAGTCAGACCCTCAGTGTGATGGACTGACACAGTGGCTGCAATAGTGGACTCCAACATAGGGACAATTGTGAGTATGGTGTAGCACAGCCAACGCTTTATTGTATTCTACATAAAACCACTATGAATCATCAGAGCTGACTTGACATCTAAGACCAACACCTTTGATTGATCTACCTATTGTATTTTAAGTCAATGGCATTTTTTCCCCTTTAAATTTTGGTGAAAATACATGTTGCAGAAATACTCTCCATGAGCAATTTCCGCATGTGCAATTCAGCAGTGTCAGTTCTGTTCCTCTTGTGTGTCCTCATTCTCACTGTCTCGACTCCAATCATTTCACCAGCACTGCCTTTGACTCACTGCTCCTTTAACTCCCTATCTATGCTTTAGAGCAGTGGTTCTCAACCTTCCTAATGCTGCGACCCTTTAATATCGTTCCTTATGCTGTGGTGACCCCCAACCATAACATTATTTTTGTTGATACTTTATAACTGTCATCCTGCTACTGTTATGAATTGGGGTGACCCCTGTGAAAGGGTCTTTTGACCCACAAAAGGGCCGCGACCCACAGGCTGGGAACCACTCTTTTAGAGTGACTGTTGAGAATCTGATTTCAGGTAGTTCATTAAAAGAGTATACCATAGTCATGGGTCAACATTCTTCACTAATCTAGCTAAATAGCTCCCAGGGATACTTTCAGCTCATAGTTTGAAAGTTTTATCAGAGTGATAAATTCAAAGGTTCCACTGGTCTCAAGAGGTCCAAGAAAGTCTGTGTTTTGTAAGGATTTGGAATTCTGTGCCATATTTTTCTTCTTTTGATTAGAATTCATCTACTGACTCCTTCACCAAAAAGTTCAGCAATGAGAGCAATGCCCCACCCAGTTCTTCACATCTTCTGGCAAAAGAAGCAGTAGTAGGTTAGGGACCAGTTTCTTCTCTGACTCTTTGGCCTCCTTGCTCTGCCAATCTAGGCAAATAGAGACCTCGCATGTATCTTGGATAGTCACAGTGGCTTTGAGGTTTAAGACTCCAGATTCTATTCAGCAGTGAGTTCAACAGGAACCCTAAAAACAGTATTAAGCCCATTTATTGGAAAGTTCCATGAAATGGAATACGTCTTGTGAACAAAGCTGTGGTTGGCAGTCCTTGGGCGTGTCTCCTTACTTGCTTTCTGGAATCCTAATAGGTTTTCACACCCTTGTCCCTTTACACTGCTAAATAAGGTCAGTGGTTCTAACTCACCAGCCCCTCCACTGAAGAAAGCTGTGGCTCTCTACTCTGATAAAGATCAACAGCTCAGGATACTTTGGCTTGATCTGGTTTTAATATTTTCTGTCCCCCCCTCCCTATTTGGCTTTATTTCTATTGTATTTTGTCATTGTGTGTAGCTTTTTTGAATCTTTGCCATGTGTTTTTCTACATGTTTTTCAGTATATGAAACCCAGGATTGATGAACCTACAGAGACAACAGCTAGAATAAGAGTTCCTGGGGGCAGGTGGGGGGGGCGGGGGAAACTGATATCAAGGAGTTCAAGAAGGAAGAAAATGTTTTGAAACAGATTGAGGTAGCAATTGTACAATACTGCTTGATGTGGAAGGGAAAGATATCTGGATTCACTTTTAAGAAAATGGTTTGGGGGATAGAAAAGATTTACAGTATCAGAAACCTGATGGCGTAGTTCTACTGTTTCCTATAAGGTTGCTACACATTGGAATTGACTTGATGGCTGTGGTGATTGGTGCCTTTTAAGGTAGTTGTAACCATATGACTAATATTGTCCAATGAAATGTGAGCAGGCGTGATCCCTGTGACTTCCAGGTGTGTGGTTTCACAATTGTGCCCTCTTCTTTCCATGGCAGTCAGAGATTTTACAGAGGTGGGGCTTCATCAGCCTGGACCAGAGGGAGACTTTGCAGAGCCAAATCCAAGCCACCCATGATCATCATGTAGTGTGAGGAGGAAGCAAATCTTTGCCATTCAGTGCCGCTGGGATCTGAGGGTTGTTTATTATGGTGGCATACTAGTTTTATTCCAGCTGATAGGTTGTAATTTCTTCTTACTTTTTTAAAGGTAGAGTCTCGGATATGGATTCCTGAGCCTGTGCTCTTGACATGTCAACGCAACTTACTTTCTGAAAATGATAATAGGTTGCGCCTCTACCAGCTGTGTGTGTGTGTGTGTGTGTGTGATCAAATTGATCACATCCTTGCTAATTAGGAAACAAAACAAAGCAACAACAGCAAGCAAAACAAAACCAAAAAACCCCCAAACCTGTTCATTTTCTAGGTGATAAATGGCATGTTTCAATTTCCTTGAAAACTTCTCATTTCTCTTTGCAGTATTCTAGGGATAGTTCTGGGGTGATCTATGTCATGCTGAATGGTTCAGATCCAAACGGAGCTTATCCAGTCAAGGGGTAAGATCACCACCACCACCAAGCACAGTGGAATGTGCCAAATGTTTATGTCATTGATTAAAATGGACCCTATAGAGAATCATCTGGTGCCCTGTTGTCTTGGTTATCTAGAACTGTGTTACCATTTTGAACACCCAGAACTTTATTTTTTCATGAGTCAGGAAGCCAGAACAAGTCTGAATTCAAGCTTTCTCCCTCTGTTGGCTCATCAGGAGGTGGCAGGGGAGCTGTCCTGGTCTCTTCAACTTCTACTTTCTGGCTCCCAGGAGATCCCCAAGCCCCAAGTGGTTGGCATCTATCTTCCCCCCATCTGTGTTTGCATCATCTGCTTCTCTTCTGTTGAGTAAGAGATGGACTCAAGATACAGCCTACACTCGTCCTGTATCATTAGCAAAGACAACTCCTTCCCAAATGGAAGTGCAACCACAGGTTTCGAAGTTAGGATTTACACACATGCACACACACATGCACACACACACACATGCACACACATTTTTGAAGTGCTAATCTAATGCTTGCTTTGATACATTCAAGTAAAACATAAAAAGTTGAGTGAGCTGGTAATCAGAGCCATTCATGTGCATACAGCTACATGGTAATGACAAATGCATGAGTAAAGTAGGTAGTCTGAAGATTCAAAGCAAAACAAAACCCCAAACCAACCAAATTCAAAAGTTTCTTTTATAAAGTAATGTTTAATAAGTCTACAATTGAAGTAAGAAAAACAAACAAATAAACCCAGCATCTTACTACTTTAGAACTTTAAGGAATGTTTTCCTGGTTTCTCAGTTTTTTTGCAGACTATGAAGTTCCATTCCTCCAGAAGGATAAAATCACACGAATTGAGATCTGGGTGATGCATGAAATCGGGGGGCCCAATGTGTAAGTACTGATGCTGTGGGTGAAGAGTAATTGGGCACATATGCTTTTTTGGGGGTATCATATGCCTTCATTCATCTTCATTTTGGGAGGAAGGGAAAGTCTTCACTGTTTCTGAAATGTTGGGTAGAGATTTTCTGAGACTGACCTGTCCTGATCCCAGAGAGAAAACCTTCTTTATACAGGCTGCTCCACCCTGCCAGGGAAAATCAGGTTCCTTCTTGAGTGACATGGGCAACTTTGGATAAGCAAGTTTGTCTGTTAGGTCAAGATATGTTCTCTTTCTGGTCATTTGAAGCCCCAAAGCCTCCCACCCTAGGGGCTCTTAGCATTGACCCAGGGCTCTGAGATTAAGACATTATTCTTGGAGACTAGTCAGCTCCACTATTGGGCTCTCAGATAACTTAACCAAGCATTCTTTTAAGATACACATTTTCTGTGGGGACCACTTGTTAGGTCCCATCGGGCTGGTTCTGACCTATAGTGACCCTAAGCACAACAGAATAAATTACCACCTGGGGCGATGCTGGCAAACACTCCCTATAAAACACGGAAGCTCATTTGGTTTATAGAGAGCCCAGTGAAGCTGCAGCCTCAGCACAGCTGGGAGGCCATGGTGGAGCTCAGAGGTAGGCTGGGCTGGTCCTTCAGGGCACAGTTGTCCATGGAGTCGAGGCCCACTGAGCAGACAACGTTTTGAACATATGCTCCACAGGACTTGGCACAATCTTCACAGTCCCCCAAGAACTTCTGAGGCCAAACATACAATGAGGGGTTCTGTTGCTTATCTGCTGGGCAAGAGATGAAAATAAAATGTTTAATCTATTTTCACCAGATCTATTTCTGTAAGATTGTTGTTATTAGGTGCCATCGGGTCAGTGTCAATGCACAGAGACCTGAAGCGCAGCAGAGTGAAACACTGCCCAGTCCTGTGCTGTCCTCACAATGGTTTCCATGCCTGAGTCCATTGTTGTTGCCATTGTGTCCATCCATCTCATTGAGGGCCTGCCTCTTGTTCGCTGCCGCCTGCCCCGCCCCCCCCTTATCAAGCACGAAGTCCTTTTCCAGGGACTGGTCTCTCCTGAAAATATGTCCAAAATATGTAGGATCAAGTCTTGCTGTCCTTGTGTCTAAGGCGCACTGTGGCTCTACTTCGTCCAAGACAGATACGTTTGTCCTTTTGGCAGGCCATGTTACTTTCAAAATTGCTTTCCAGCACAATAATTTAAATGCCCAATCCTTCTGTGGTCTTCCTTATTCAACGTTTAACTTTGACATGCACATGAAGCAAATGAAAATACCATGGCTTGGGTCAGGCACACCTTAGTCTTCAAAGTTTCCTTGCTTTTCAAAGCTTTAATGAGATCTTGTGCAGCAGGTTTACTGAATGCAACATGTCTTTTGATCTCTTGACTACTGCTTTAATGAGCATTGATTGTGGATCCAAACAAGACAAAATCTTGGACAACTTTTCTCCATTTAAAATGATACTACCTACTGTTCCAGTTGTGAGGATTTTCATCTGTAAGATTACAGTCATTGAAAATATGGTGGAGTGCAGTAATACTTAGGGACTTGGTAGGCCACCACCCACCACTTGTCTGTCAGTTTGTCTTACTGTGGTGGCTTGGGTGTTGCTGTGATGCTAGGATTAGAAAACCCAAAGGGAAGAAGATAATCAGTATATCTTAACCTGAAAGAATTCAAGAAAAAAAATACAAACTTAGAGATGCAATGCAGAAAGATTCTGTGGGAAAAATATTGAATGATGCAGGAAGCATCAGGAGAAGATGAAAAGAATACACAAAGTCACTGTGTCAAAAAGAACAAGTCGACATTCCACCATTTCAGGAGGCGGATATAAGCAAGAACTAATGGTGCTGAAGGAAAAAGTTCAAACTGCACTGATAGCATTAGCCAAAACCAGGCTCTAGGAATTGACGGACTACCAATTGAACTGTTTCAACAAGCTGATGAAGCACTGGAAGAACACAGTCGTCTATTCCAGGAAATTTGGAGGGACAGCTACTTGGCCAACTGTCTGGAAGAGATCAGTATTTGTACCCACTCCAAAAAGGTGACCCAGCACAATACTCAAATTATAGAACACTATCATTGATATCCCATGCAAGCAAATTTTTGCTGTAGATCATCCAACATAGGTTGCAGCAGTACTGTGCTGCAGGGTGCTGCCAGACGGTCATGCTGGATTCAGAAGAGGACATGGAACAGGGATATTATTGTTGATGACACACAGATCTTGGCTGAAAGCAGAGATTCCAGAAAGATGTTTACTTGTGTTTCATTGACTATGCCAAGGCATTCAGCTGTGCGGATCATAACAAACTATGGATAAACTTTTGAAGAATGGGAACTACAAAATATTTCATTGGGCTCATTCAGAACTTGTACATGTATGAAGAGGCAGCTGTGCCACAGTACAAGGGAATAATACTGCATGGTTGACATTAGGAAAGGTGTGTGACAGGGTTGTATTCTCATGGTTAATTCAATCAGTGTGCTGATCAAATGATCACAGAACTTGGCTTATATGAAGAAGAATGTGGTATCAGGATCAGAGGAAGGCTTATTAACCACCTGAGATATGCAGATGACACAACTTTGCTTGCTGAAAGTGAGGAGGATCTGAATCACTTGCTGATGAAGATGGATTGGTGCCTTGAGTAGTGACTACCAACTCAATATAAACAAGACCCAAATCCACACAACTAGACCTATAGATGACATCAGGATAGTTGGAGAAAGGGTTGAAGTTGTCCAAAATTTGTCTTGTTTGGATCCACAATCAATGAACATGGAAAAAGCAGTCAAGAGATCAAAGGACACACTGTATTAAGTCGATCTGCCACACAAGTATTGAAAAGCAAGGATATTACTTTGACGACTAATGTGTGCCTGACCAAACCATGGTATTTTCAAGTGCCTCATATGCATGAGAAAGTTGGACATTAAATAAAGAAGATGGACAAAGAATTGATGCATTTGAATGATGGTGCTGGAGAAGGATGTTGAAAGTACCATGGACTGCTCAAAAGACAAACCTTTCTGCTTTGGAAGAAGTATGGCCAGAACATTCCTTAGAGGCAAGGATAGAGAACATTTTTCTTATGTACTTTGAACATCTTGTCAGGGGAGACCAGTCTTCAGAGAAAGACATCATGTTTGGTAAAGTACAGGGGCATTGAAAGAGAGGAAGGCCCTCAAGGACATGGATTGACACTGTTGGTGGCAAAAATGGGTTCAAGCATAGGAAAAATGGTTAGGATAGAGCAGGACCAGGCAGTGTTTCATTCTGTTGTGTGGTAAGGTCCCTATGGGTCAGGGAGACTTCATGGCACCTAATAACAACTGTATTAGGCAGGGTTCTCTAGAGAAACAAAACCAGGGCACTTATGATTATATGTATATGTATATATATGATGATAGGTTTATACAGCAAGAAGGAATGTAATAGCTAATTAGTCCACACAGCAGTACAGAGAGCTCAGTTCAACTCACTTTCTTGGAATAGTTAATATACTGAAAGTCCTTCAACTCATGTGGGCTGCTGGTCCAAGGTCAAGGAAGCAGACAGCAGAATTCTTCCCTCAGGCTAGACAGGCAGACAGCAGACACCACAGTGGGTCAGCAACAGTCAGTAGCATGGGAACTTAGCAAAGCAGGTCCCGATGGGATCTTGAACTCAAGCAATGCACTTCGACAGGATCCACCAACCTCAAGCTCAAGCAACGGATGCACCAGCAGCACAGCAAAGCAGGTCTCAAAGGAGCCTCAAGCTCTAGCAACACGATCCATGGGTTAGCTTGGTCCACAAGTTGTGTAGCACAGGGTTGAGGCAAAGAACTCATTCAAGCAGCAACATGCTGGTCTGATCACCAGGAGGAAGAGAGAAGGGGGCAGGCCTTGGAAAGCCAATCAAACTGCAACCTGATTGAACTCCACCCAGATGTTCCTATTGGTCTAGCTGGCACAATAAAGCTAACTATCACAACAACAAACTAGGTCATCAAAAATCAGAATCAATTCAGTGGCAATGGGTTACACACACACACACACACACACACACACACACACACGTAATGCAGGATACAAAATACATTGGACAGTGCATTCCTTTTTTTTTTAAGTCTTGTGTAAATAAATATAAAACTGATGCCCTGAGGACACACACCACCATAATGACAGCAGGTCCTCCACTCTTGGGAAATGTGGGGGTGATTCTTGTTTTTTCTCAGGCTTCCTGGTGTTTTCCAAAGCTGTAGAGAATGTATGTTTTGGTGAATCCAACAGGGGTAGGCTTTGTGTCACTTTATCATGTGCAGCACAGGTGGCACTTAGTGTTCCACCCTCACAGGTGGGGAGGAACCTTCAGGAGTGTGTGCTGTGTGAGGGGGGTGGGAGTGGGCAGAACTTCGCTCAGTGGCGTTTACAGCTTCCCAGCCAGGTACCTTCCCCTGGGTATGGTCTCTAGACTTCAGATGGAGCCATTGCCGGAGCCAGCCTTGCCTGGGGCAGGAGGGGTTCCCCAGGAGCAGCCTCTGTTTCTATGTGTTTTCAGGGAATCCTGTGG